ATGCTTAACTTTTAGACCTGTGGAATTTGATTGGTTAATTATCACGGGTAATTAACCATTTTCTTTATATAAACCGCAGGTTACCTGGGTGACCCGTTTGTAAAATTTCTTGTATCACCTGGGTCACCCAGGTGACCCACCTGCGGGTGACCCGGGTTTGGATTTTTGAGACGGGTCAGAACACTAGTGATGCTATGTTAAAAATTCTATATCCAGAAAAGGCTGTAATTAAGACTTGGCACATGTCTTTTGAAGTATGCCATTGTTCAAGAATAATATTCATAGTAAGATTCTTATTTTCATAATTTCTAAGCCTTCAAAAAATAGTCTCATCGCATGCAATATCGATTGTAGTAACTCCCGTATTTGTTATATCATTTAAAAACATATTGCATGTCTCATATACATTTTTATTAGAATTCGGTGCTGGACCAGGTTTTAAAATTATTACTTTTGGTTTATCAAACTTACACCCTATTTCAACATTTTCAATAACCTTTAGGTGAATATCATTAATATTGAAATCATTTTTTTTTTCCAAAAGCAATTCTTCAAAAATGCGATCATAATTGTTGTTTAAATTTTTTGTAACTATTGATAACCCAATCATAACTTGGCTTGATTGTTCAGAAAAAAAGATTGAATTGGGTTCTTGCAAACTTGTAGGAAGTTTAAACTGAAACGTAACTCGTAAAGTAGCATGCGCAGTTTGTCATGCAGTATTATAAATATTTTTGTATATAAATATTTTTTTTTTATATCGATATTATCAATAACTAACAAATTATAAATATTATTTGCAGTTTCAAGTCTAGTAGCAGGATTAGCACTTTCTATACATCGTTTTTCTGTACGAACTTCATGGTCCCAAGAATAAGAAACTATATGTGCAGAATGAAAAATCTTATGAAGCTTTGAAATTATATTTGGGCATCTACAAAGTGAGCCTAAGGTACGAGATAACCAAATTTTCTAATGACGAAAAGCAATATCTATCATGATTGATACTAAAAATATTGTGATTTTGTTAGTTGGTGTTAAATCTAATGGAATTGATAGTAATCTACGGAATTTTCTCTGTCTTTCAGCAATTTCATGTTTTTTTATAAAAAAACTTAATAAGACTACTAAAAAAGACCACAGAGTTTTAGATAATACCGCAGTATATTGTATAAGAGATTGAAGATTTTCCAAGATTGGCAAATTATTTTCAAGTGAAATACGTGATTGCTATAATGATTCTCCAAGAAGATTTCCAAGATATTTATATTCATTTTCTTTTAACGATGCTGCTTTTGCTCTAATGCTTAGATCTATTTTGGCTAATTTGAATGCTATTCGAGTTATTAGTAAAGTTGGCATAACTTGTCATTTGGAAGGATCTATTGGTTTATAAATCAAATCTCACAGCAAATATGGCTTAAGTGACTTAAGTGCTGGTAGCAATGACCAAATAAGTTGTTGTTTTTGTAATTCATTATTTGATTTTGCTACTAATTAAATTCAATTTCTAAATGTTTCTAAAATTCTAGTTAACTCATCATGTTTTTCATCATAGTTCGTTTCTTTAAATCCTTTGCCCAACCTTTTATGTAGGTGACTGCCATTAATTTCGAAACATTCTAAGCAAATATATAAGGGTTATGTATTATTCATTGATAAGCTAGAAATTGAGTAATAGGGCTGTAATGCTTCGTATGTTCATAACCCTATACATGCGACTCTAATATTATGTCTACATACTGTCCATGAATGCTTAGAGCAACCTTGGCTACGTGTAAAGAAATATTTATATTTGTTACAAAAGATGTATCGAACATAATGAAGAATACTTTGGTCTATTCCTAGTATTTGAATTTTTTTAGAATATAGCTAATTTTGATCAAAAAAAAAAATGCTAATAACAGATACCAAGCTTGTTTAATTTTCCATTTCATTGCTCAACAGCATTACGATCAACTTTTCAAGTACTTTTGAGTTGTACAAGAGGTCAATTAAAACCACTAATATCAATTCTGTTACATCATTGTATTTTATTATCATCATTGTCATTATCGATAATGACACAGGGTGTATATCTATTATCTTCTACAAGCTGATCTGATAAAATTTCGTCTATTCTTTCATCCAACTCATTAAATATATTTTCTTCTATTTCATCATTAAGATCATAATCTTCATTATTATCACTATCCAGCTATAATATTTCATTTTTAATATCTTGGTAAGTATCGCTATCGAAATTAAGAATAGAAAAATTTTTTTTTTCATCTGAAAATTCACTATCAGAATCGGTAAAATAGGGATTGAAATAATTAACGTTATTGATGTCTTCATAATTGTAAATTATAAAGTTTATGAATTAAATATTGTAATAATTTTAATTAAAAAAATTAATTATAATAAAAGTTTAACGTTGCGACAAGACTTATTTATATATAATTTTTTATTTGTTATTTACTTATTTATTTACTTATAGAAAATACACTTTTTACTTTAAATAATATTTGATTATTAAATAAACTTTTGTATATACAAATTATTCAATATAAAACCAAGAAAAAAAAATGTAACAAGAGTTATTTATTACAATTAAATAAATTTCCGTTTACATCTTTTCAGAAAAAGTTTAACACAAGTTTACAAAATATCCTTTTAGCATACATTTGACTTATAAAAAATTTTCCTTTTTCTCACACGCCATCTCTAACTTGTAAATAATTCGCTATTCCTTTCTTTCTACCATTGGTGAATCTAGAATCATCTTCTCAATAACATGTTTCTTAAAAAATATTTATTATACGCACATCTAAAGTAGAAAATAAATAATTATTACAAGTTTACAAAACACCCTTTCAATACAAATCTCTAATTAAAAAAATTCTTTTTTCTTATACGCTACTCTTAACCCGCAAATAACTCATCATGCCTTCCTTCCCTCTATTGGTGCATCTAAAATCGTACCATCTTCTCAATGACATGTCTCTCAATAAATGTTTACTACAGATGCTACTAAATTAGAAATTTTACCATTTCTTATGAGGTGCTAAAAAAGGTATAGCGTGGATTATATTAATCACATCACATAAAGATTTTTCTGGTAGTACGATTCAGAATTTGAAGGCAATGCTGTAATATAATTTAGGGATGATGACAATATTAACTAACTATAAATAGAAATAAGG